CTGTGAGGTTCAATATGTGTCTATCCTCATTCAACGCGTCTATGTGTCCGGCACTCCAACATCACTCAACCCGTGGGGTTCCAGCAGCTATCCCCACGCAACCCGTCTATGTGTCTGGCAATCTCAAACCTCCCCTTTCCGTGGGGTTTCAGTATACAGCTATAATCACTCAACACGTCTATGTGTCCGGCAATCTCCTACATCACTCAACCTGTGAGGTTTCCGTAAGCAATCCTCACTCCACGCATCCATGCGTCACGCGTCTTTGATAGCGCATACTACGGGGGCTATATCTGGTGGCGTGTTTTACGTAGGGGGGGGAGGGGTTGCTGAGGATGGAATGAATGCCTTCCCGAGGACATTGCGCTGAACAGAGAGGGAGGGTTCGCAACCCTAACGGTAAGCCTTAGCTAAAACCAAGCTTAGTACCCCTGTGGCACCTCTCTCACTTCCACACGTGCACTAATTCCACCGTTACTGGACAAGATCAACTCGCCTGTGGTCGCACGACGGGCGCTACCGCCGCCGATCCCGCGATGAGAACCTGCACCATGCGCGCCGCCTGGGTCCGCGCGGCCGACCCTGCCGCCACCGCCGGCCTCTCTCCGGTGAACACACTCTTCAACTTGAAGCCGCCGCCGCCCCCCCCGCTCTGATCCTCACGGGCTACCGTAGCGATCCCCACCGGCCCCGACGATGGCATAGAAAACGATGCCGACCTCCTCGACACCGCCAGGCCGCCGGCGGCAACGTTGCCACCCAGCGCGGCATCGAGGGTCGGGCGTGTGGCAGAGGTCGCGTCGGAAGCGGCGAACGCGGGCGGGGACAGGAGGTACAGCAGGGGCGCGAACGCCGATGATTCGTTGAACGCCCTTCTCCAGACCTGCCGCGGAGAGACGGAGAGAGGGAGCGAGGGGGCATTGTTAGGGCGTGCTGCGCTGTGCGCGACCATTGCGAGACTGTCGGGTTCGACGAAACGCTTGTTGTTCGAGTCTAGTCTTCGGAGATCTCCGGATAATGTACCGGATGCCTCACAGCGGCTACGGTTTACGAAGAATATTCAAAGAGAGTAACTATCGGACATGAGAGAGTGTTGATCGCTTGTCCCGACCCATGAGAAATACTGTACGTACATTACACAGTACGGTTCAAGCGAAAACCGGATTAAGAGCCGTGTTGTTGACTTGCCCACACCCTCTCTTTCAACCGTAGCCGACTGTATTTACTCGTGTTGCGAGGTGTACCCCCGAGGGGAACCTTGAACAAGCGCACTAACGACCGGTACGTTGTCATGAAGCCATTACCAACCCCCCAACCCCGCCCCCCCCGCCCCCCCGTTGACGCGGCGGCAATGGATTGCAGAAACACGTGCCGCGACGAACCTAGTGTGTGTAAACCCCACAACATGTTCGCCACAACACAACGATTAAAAGAAAAAAAAAAAAAAGGATCGGGACGTAGGCACTTACGCACACACCTGTATCCCCGCAGCGCTGCCATCGAGCGCGTCCACGAGCGCCTCCATCACCCTCGCCTGCAGGTCGGGCTTGCGCTCGCAGTGGCCCAGCAGGTCGACAACGAGCCGTAGCGACTCCGGCGACCGGACAGGCTTCGCGCTGGTGCAGCCGTTGGCCAGGTAGGTTGCCCTCGCGTCGTCGGCCGTTCTCCCCGCAGCGTCGAGCAGGGCTACGGGGGAGAGGTTGGAGGCGGACACGTCCAGGGCTCCCTGGAGCGCCTCGCTCGTCATGAGCTCGAACAGCGTCGCGAAGGTGTCCATCGACAGCTGCACGGCGAGAGGAGAGAGCGGTGTTGCCGTCAGAGGTAATAGTCGGCATTGCACGGCCGTGGAATCAAGATACACGATCATACTGTAGGATCTAAACGCGGCCATCATAGCGTGCAGGGGCGAGCGGAATGTCCTAGACTATCCGTCGTTGATTTCAATTGACGTGCGGACCCTTCGGGTCCATGTATTTTCGTGTACCTTCTTTCGGTAAGTTAGCCTGAGACCATGGGAATCGACCGCGTCAAGTGCTAGACTACAGAACAAGGTACTGGGTAGAGAGAAAGGAACGGTTTTTGATGTGAAGACAACAACAGCAGCGACAACAACAACAACAACAACAACAACAACATCTGTGACAGACACGTTTATTGACGGCGTGATAGTCCTTACCCTAACAGGCTCTTCGTTCGCGTCTTACCTGTTGCAGGGCTTCGTGTCCTTGAGCAAGTGCGTGGTAAAGCACATTGAAACCGTCACGGACCCGAAAGGCGTCCATTCCCTCAGCCGACGCCTCCAGCAAGCCCGCTAGAACTCTCAGCGCCGCCACCTGCAAAGCAAGCACAGCCAAAACAATCCTCAGCAAAAAGGCGCGACCGATGCGCTTGGCCACCAAAACACTGGCACATGTAAAAAACAAATACAAGGTGCGTCGCCACGAAGTACGAACAAACATCGGGGCGAGTCCTCGTGGCTATTTTTTCATCGGAACCCAGCCAACAACGGACATTGAGACGAGTCCGGGGCTACCCCCGGGCTATTTACTACTACGTTCCGCGATGCATCAAAAACCAAGCGATACATCACCTGGCGAGCGTGGTCCATCCGAAGAAAGGGGAGGCACAGGCGGAAGCCTCCGGCCGCCTGTACCGCGGCGTGCAAGGGAGTAGTCGCGTACACTCCAGTCCCGCCGCCCGCGGCAAGCCTGAACGAAACCCGAACGTCGCATGCCGAGTCCTTATCCTTGCCCCCGCAGCCCGCCGCCACCGCGAGGCTATTCACCGTCAACGCAACCGAATCCGACAACGGAACCGCGCCCCCCGCCGCGGCCTCCCTGCCCACCGAACAAGTCCCGCCGGTTCTTTCCCCGGTGGCCCTACGCTCTGCCACCGCTTCGGTAGTGAACACCGTCCCTCCCGCTGCGGGCGGTTCGTCCGGCGGGGCGACGCCATACTTCACGTCGATCGCCTTGCGGACGGGGGCGAGGTTCACGGACAGCCGCGGTGGGGGCGCCGCCGCATCCGAAAGCAGCGGTAACATCATCCGCGGGGGGTCTCCGGCTAAGAACGGTGGGGATTGACCACCCGCAGGCGGCGTTGGGTCTCTTGGCGGAGCCCCCGTCTTCGGAGGCACGCCGGAGAACGGAGCGGTGCAGGCGCTTGATTCCCGCCGCACGGCTGCTGTCGCCTGACCACCACTACCGCTCTGGTCTTCGGCGAGCTCCCTCGCTCCTGACTCAGGAGCGTCACCTCCTACGGCCGGCTGTAGTTCGATCGACTTCGTGTCGAGACCGCTGCCGCTGCCACCCTCCCCTACCACAGGAGCCGAAGGCGCTGCTTCTACCGGATCGAGGAAAGGCGTCGGGGGAAGGCTGCCGGGGCTGGCGAAGATGATGCGCTTTCCCGGCGGCGGGGCCCCCGGTCCCCGAAGGAAGGACGCCTTCGCCGTTTCCGGGCTCCACGCGCCCTCCACGAGCGCAACGGTGGCGATCTGGCCGCTGAAGCGCGCCGCGGCGGGTGCGCCGTTCACCAGCCCGGCGGCATCCAGCGCGGGCGGTGATGCCGTCGACGACTCCTGCTGGCAACCACCGCCGGATGGCTCTTCCCAGCACCCCACGCTCACGGACACGGACCCCGAGCCGCCTCCGGTGCCGGCGGGGGACGCAGGGGGGGGGGCGGG